CCGGTTGTACTTGTGCTGTAATGAATCGATTGCCCATCACACGTGGATTAGTTGGGGCAGATTTACCTGAATGTTTTAATTAAAATCTGTAATGAGCTCAAACTTCTTGCCTTGTTGACTCCCATTACCTCATTTGTATTGTTTAAGGCTTTAATGACCGCATGAAATCGAACAGTGCACTTTTCTTTCTGGTATTGATGTGTTTGCTATTGGAGTAGGGGCAGGACATTTCGAAGGACATGACATTTTTTTAAAAGAAATAGCCAATGACATTTAGTTAAATCAGTTTCTTAAGGTTGGAGGAAACGAGGAAGCTTTAGCTAGAGTACTGCGAAGCCCCCCATGATTTGATATTTGCTATGCTACTCAGAATTACACGGTACTTATAATTAAAGGTCCCCTGAAATGCTTAGAAACACGCAGCGTTACTCTGTGTTGACGTCATTTTAACTGAAACAGGAAGACAGGGCGGGACATATCAAGCAGCCCCACCCCTTTTTAAAATAGCCAATAGCGTTTGTTTATATCACAGCTTGGGCTAGAGCCGTTCAGAGCCGTTGAGTTCCGTAAAGCTGCATTTGACAGGGTATGCCAGCCACAACCTCATCCATATTGCTATAAAATATAGCATTCTGTGTAGAATTCAAATAGCTCCGATACATTTTGTGGTCTGCGCCGACTCGCGCATGTGATACGCTCCGTGCTATCGTGTCTCTGGACCGGAGCAGAGTGTGTGCGGTGCGGTGGTTAGCGTGACACAGCGCGAAACCAGACTTCTTTTTTTTCCCTCAATGGAAAGCATATTTACACTGTTTGAATCGTTCCCTGTCCCCTATATAGTGCACTACGTGCCATTCACTGTACAGAAAATACTAATTCTGTGGACAAGTGACCGATTTCAGCCGCGGCTTCAGCGTCTATTTTATAGTGCAGGGGGTGGGGGCTTCGGATTCTAGAGAGCATTTGATTGGACAGAAAGTCTGATGAGAAGCTGAAGTACGAGGTGACATCAAAAAAAGCGTGAATGCTTATATCTTCTAAATGCGAATTTTGTCACTGTTTTGGAGCACACTGCCTTATAGATAACCTTAAGACTAACATATTGATACTAACACCCAAAAAACTTTAATTTTGATTTCATGGGGACTTTAAGAGGGAGGGGCAGTATCATTCCAAAAAAGCATTTTATTTGGACACGTCCATTAGTGAATGGTTTATTTACATAGAACTTTTAGGCGCACACTAGCATTTAGACAACCCAGGCTAATTGGAAAAAAAATTTACCTGGAGTGTCATCATAAAAAAAAAAACGTTTCAAAGCGAAATGTCCAGTGAACTAAAAGCACATTGAATTTGAAACAGATGAACATGATTCTGGCAATGTTTTGTATGTTTCGGAAATGAAATGTCCAGTGAGTGGCACTGAAGTTTAATGCTCTATTGCATTTAAAGATATTGTAAGACCTACACTAAACCCGACCCTAAACCTAACCGATAGTGTTAACAAAAGCAAATGCAGGATAAAAATTATTTTGCTCAAGCCAGCATGCCATTTTAGCTTGCTTCTACAGGTCTTTGAGCTCTTTCATGATCAGTGGGACTCTAAGAACTTCACATCACAAGCAATGCTGTACCAGGTGCGCTACCGAGCAAGTTTACCATGTCAGAAATCCACAGATATGGAGCCGTTAATGTAATGCAAATGTCAGAATGTATTAATTAAAAATTCATCCACTATGATAAAGTAATCACAATTCGTATGTAAAGGAATTAATGTTTTACTTCCACTAGAGTTCATTTTAACTGGAAACTGCAGTGAGTTGTATGTGTATGTATGTTTTTAGAGTTTTGCAGAAATGTAGGTAGAAGTATGTTTTTCCATTGAGCCTAGGTTGCACATAAATGACCTCAAAACTTAAAAAAAAAAGTATTTAATCGCTGAGGTCTAAAAAGCTGTTTCAGATCAGTCTCAGTGAAACATTGTGAGCTAGAGGTACTTGCTAATTGGTCATTGTTTATTTTTCCTTCATTTATAATAAGACATGGCGCCATCTACTGGTCGGAAAGCATAGAAACATGCACAAAAGTACAAAAGTGGTTGATGGTTTTGCAATGCATCACTCACTATCATTACATAATGTATCATTTTTGTAAAAAGGAACATTTAACCCTTGATTACTTTAGCTGTTAATGTGCTGATAGCTTATAATATTTCTCATTGTTTTAATAATAAACATTTTTATAATTCATTACATAGTGCAGTTTAATATTATATTAATATAACGAAAACATACAATAATTCTCCTTCTGCTCTCACATAAAATCTCTCTTTAACATCACCTATTTTAACATTTCTGCAGGGAAAAACGACTGCCAGTACAGTCAGTTACAAAACTAAGCATTCAGAGAGTTGTACTCTGCCTAGTTATCCTTCAAATTAATCACAAAAAATCATTGTGGTCACCTTCAGTATAGTAATAAAGGAATATATATATACTGCATATATACTGTATGATCTAATGTTGGATTTTGGGTCAACACAGTAGTCCAATCTGCACTGTCTCAGTACCAAATCACCTATGAAGATTTTGTAATAAGAACATATTTCTGAGTATTTAATAAAAAGGCAAAATAGACATATAGACAAGTAAATAAAAAAACTGGATGTTTTATGCAGGCAGAACATTTTAAAATGCTACTTACCATATGTGCCAAATGTCCCGAAGATAAACTTAGAGGTGTCAAGCCAAAAGCCTCAGAAAAACACTATATTGCCTAAAATGTTCTCTCCTGCTGTGCCTTTAGAGAAAGATGTCCAGTGTCATTCACACTAAACTGACAGAGGGAAGATCAGCTGATGCAGAAGGAGAGGAGAACATAGATGCAGGATCTTTCCTCTTCTCACTCAGCCCTTCAATATTTTACTGCTGTACTCACCAGCAGTGGCTCCTGATTGGCTGAGCTGCTGCACAGTAATGTATGATCTCGCTTTTAATTGGATAGAGGCAATTTATGAGGCCTGTCCAGCATTAATCCTGTTCATGCTTGCTCATTTAGTCTTTCTCACTCTCTCTCACACACACAGAGGATAGCTGAGCTTTGCTATATCAGATTAATGAAATGAGGTAGAATATGTAAAGGAGATGAACGCAGGGATAGAGAACACATTTAACACATTTACTGTAACTTACAGACACTTTTATTGAGAGCAACATACAAATTAGGAAAAGCACAAGCAATTATACCGGATCTAATAATAGTAACAGAACCACTCTAATTAATTTCAAGAGTAAACAGAGAAGTACAAAAGCTAGAGCAGAAGTGTAGCTGTATTTGTGTGTTAATAGGAAGAGACTTAATGTATTATTATAGATTAATTAAATGCTTGCAAAGGAGATTAAAAGGTTGTGATGGGACAAAAGATGGGAGTTACTTGCTTTGTTGCTTAATGGACCAGTTCACCCAAAAATGAAAATTGGCCAGAAAAGACGGTTTAGACGTTAAAACTCCATGGATTTGTTTCTTACAATCATGCAGCTTATTGCTTCACAAGACATTCATTGGTGGACTAGAGTCACTTCTGGATTATTGTGATGTTTTTATCAGCTGTTTGGACTCTCATTCTGGCGGCACCCATTCACTGCAGAGCATCCACTAGTGAGCAAGTGATGTAATGATACATTTCTCCTAATCTGTTATGATGAAGAAACAAACTCATCTACATCTTGGATGGCCTGAGAGTGAGTACATTTTGAGCAAACTTTCATTTTTGGGTGAACTGTTCCTTTAAGAAGTGTAGCCTATGTGGGCAGCGTCTTGTTCTTGTGGTCTAGAGACTTTCACAAACCACATAAATATGGCAGCTTTTTGTCTGGTTTTAATGTCATTTCTCTCTGTCTTAGTCTGTATCTGGGCATCAGTTTATGGACTGATCTATAAACTAATATACTGACAAAAGACCAGGTCTATAGAAACACAACAACTGATTAAAATCTGCTTTAGCTCCAGACTTTTGATTTCTGTCAAGATTAATTTTTCTCTCCGCTGAGATCCTTGTGACATGACTTTGTGTATGATTGACTGATCAGCCAAAACACCCAGTCTTTCTCTATCAAAATCTGTTTTCTACTAGACATTTTTTGATCACTAGTCCGTGTTAGTATTGAAATGAATAAAATGACAGAAAGTAAGCGACTGTATTTCACCGCTAGATGGCGATGTCTACTCTTTTGTTGTTGCAGGATGTAATTAGACTGACTGCACATATGAGCATGAATGAGGCATTTATATGGCGCTGTAAAGAAAAAAAAGACTATCAGTGCTTACTCCTAGCAGATGTGAAGAGATGTTAGTATTAGTATCAGTGATAGTATTAGTTCTTCCAGGTACAGTTTAAAAAATATATATTTTATATATATAGCTATATATTATACTATTTTTGTACTCCTATGCAAGGCTTGGAAATTGTAATTTTCTTATATTACAAACCCTGCAATGTTGCCAGTATCATATATCTGTCTATATATGTGGCATGTGAACTATATTCTTTCTAGACAGATTTGTATTTATTTATTTTTTCTGAGTCTCTAGGCATTAAAACTTAACGTAAATATAAATCAAAAGAGGTATCTATAAAAGAGAACACACTATTAATAATTATAAGTGAAAGATCAATAATTCATCAATTGCATCATTTAACTAAACATACTAAGCCCCCCCCCATACTTTTAAGAAAAGATCTTCAATAATCAATCAAACAAAACAAAAAAAAGCCACTTATACAGAGGAAAAAAATAAAGCTTTTGTTCAATATGCAAATAAATTACAATAACAAAATAATCCACTAGATGCATTACAGATCAATAGTTTTTGTTTTCTATGGTGTTGTGTTGTAATATTTGCAATATGAATCAGATGTTATGGGTATGTACCGATATATACAGAAATATATTTTTTCTTCTGATAATTGTAATTTCTTGCTGTCTGTTATTCATCTCCCCCTACATTCACTGTCTTTATTTATGGCTGTATGTCTCCACAAGACTGCAGTTCAGTTCTACATTTTTATAAACCTTTTTTTATATATCTTTTAAAAGGGCACAAATGTGCAGCTGCTACTACACAAAGTGCCGTGCTATATGCAGTCATTTTAAAATAAGCATATGTCATTTAGCTGTGCCTCAGTGCAAATACAGAAACTCCATCATGATGGTGATTGCTGGCAAAACGGTTCAGAGTCCTGGAGAGGCAGAAATATGACAGCAAACTCAAAATCTGGTTTCTTGGGTTTATCACACTTGAAATTGTTTATCAAATACTTTAAGCTCATACTTTAATAATTAGTAGTGAGTAGTCATGTTTTGAGATTTCGCACTGTACACACACACACACACGCACACACATATATA